AGCCATAGCTCATTAGACAAAAAAATATATGTTATGATTTACTGAAGTGTGTAACTAGCACCCTGTACAGATATTGCCAAATTCAGCATCAAATTCGTAATCTTATACCAAAAAACATGAAACTACCAATTTTCGAGTTGATACTGCTAAAAATTCCAAAATTATTAAGAAATTTCAAATTAAAATTCCTACTTTGAACACATCTCGTAAACCTGTAACATTTGTGTAAGGCATGTTAAGCTCAATTATCATATTTTGGTGTGTAGTATCTCCAGTTTAAAGACTGCCCATTATTAGTGAATGACCCTGTAGTAATAAACTTACGAGTATTTAGCGAGTCCAATCCCGGAATTTTCGAGATTTATGTTTGAAACCCTAAGACTGATCCCAAATATCTAAAATTCCCGAAGTAATTCCCAAATCAAATTGTTCTCCAAACAACTTAGGAACATGAAAGTGTAAAAGTTATTCTTCAGATCATTTGTAACTAGAATTTGTAAAGTTTCATCGACACTGACAGCAACACTTGGGCGATTTATTTATGATAAGAGTATCCTTAAATCAAATAAAGAACTTTGAGGGAAGTATTATCATTTTAGTTAAATTTCGGGATCAAATCAAATACCAGATCAGTTTTTGATTTCGAGTCCCGATTTCTATCCATATTAACAGTTATATCTGAAGTAAAATTTTTGTTATTAGAAAAATAGTTGATCATTAGTGTTTACATCTTTTGAACTCAGTGACAACTCGTGAAAATTTATATTTTGATAATAAAAAACTGGAACCATACTCCATATTCCACTTTTCAAACTTCATGATACTGTAATTTTAACAAAAACTAAAATTTTGGGAAAACTAGGAAACCAAGGTGTTTTAAACATTCTTTTGTGAAACTACTGGGATGAAGGATTTAATTGCATGCGTCGAAACATAGCAGTAGATGCTAATGTTAACGCCTGCGAAGAAGATGTAGATAAGCTAGTGTAGCCAAAACATTCTTTGCAAACTGGGTAGCATGCTTCAGATCTTCCTTATGCATGCTTATGCATACTACTGACCAATAATGTTAGTTTAAGTAACAGTTTTCTAAGAATCTTGAAGATGAAGTCATTGGCTTTTAGCCTTATCTAACCTAAACTAACTATGCAACTGTTTAGAAACACATTAACAGATAACAATTCTTTTTTATATTCGACACTGATATACCATAGTGACAGGAGCTTTAATTCTCTGATGAACTAGTTGATGCAAACTCCATAGTTATATGCTTCATATCACAGTAGATGCTTAACTTAAATTGAAACTCCATTGTTTATGACAAATCATTTTATATCCAACGTTGAGGTACCACAATAGCAATGGCTTTAATTATTCAAAAGCTCGTTGATGCATGCTCCATAGAATCAAACATTCTTTTGTGAATCTACTGGGACAAAGGATCTAGCAATATAATGTAACAGAAAATGCCAAGGGTGTCTGAGAAGAAGAGGTAGAAGTTATTGTAGCCAGAACATTCTTTGCAACCTGGGTTTCATGTTTCGAATCCTCTTTACAGATACTAATCGACCAAGGACGCAACTTGGAGTGACAGGTTTTTAAAGAAATTTAAGAGAATCATTGTCACTTAACTGAACCTAATCTAACTCAACCTAACTTCACCTAACCTAACCTAACCTTTTTTTTTTCCCTCCTCCCTCCACCTAAACATCGCGATCTCAGAACTAACCATTACAGCATTACGTCGAGATCGCGATGTCTACCGTTTCCGTATTTATACTTAATAAAAATTTCGAATATCACAGAAAGAGACCTACATACTAATTATCGAATATAATAAATGGCAAAAAGCAAAAGCTGACAATACCTTTAACAACCATCAAAATCAATGACGGACCGACTCACTGCTACTGATCCTCCTCGTCATCTCTCATCCGCTGTCTACGCCATTCTTCTTCCTCCCTCCTCCTCATAACACCCTCTATCCATCCACTTACACATTCCCAACTCCGATCCTCCGCAGCATTTCTTGGACCATATTTCGTGGATGCAGAACGCACCCCAGCTCTCTCTCCACCGCCCTTCTGTCTGGCATAAACTCTACACACTGGAACGCGGAGTGTTCCGGACTATCTTCCCTATGTCCACAAAAGTGACATCCTTGATCTTCCATCTTGCCTATCTTTCTTCTGTAAGTCCCAAAACTTCCGTGTCCCGTGAAGAACTGGGTTAGTCTGTAGGACATTTCCCCCCATTTTCTGTTATACCAGACCGCTACTCGGGTATTAATACCCTAGTCCATCTCGCTTTATTAAGTCCCTCCCACCTTTGCTGCCATCTTTGCATTGTGGCCTCTCTTTCCTCCTTCTTGTTTCCTTCTTCTCTAAACATTTTTCTTCTTTCCTCAATGAGGAGGTCTATCGGAATGACACCCGCCAGTACTTGCGTCGCCTCCGCCGAAACGGTCTTATAAGCGGCGATGACCCTAACCAATATTCTTCTTTGTATCCTGCTCAGCATATCCCTATACTTCCGGACCTTCATAACCTCTCCCCAGACCTCCGCGCCGTACATTAATGCCGATTGCGCAACTGTCGCGATCAGTTGCCTCTTACTACTTCCGGGACCCTGCATCCTCGGCATCAATCTGCCCAGGCTATGTACCATCTTTTCGACTCGCGCCGCCGTTTCCACTATATGCTTCCCGAATGTTCCCCCCTTGTCCAACCAAACTCCCAGATACTTCACATAGTCCCTAATTTCCAAAGGATATTCCTGTACCCTGAGATTGATTGCGGCTGTGCTCTGCCTACCCCCCGCAATCATTGTGACAGTTTTTTCCACGGCCAGTTCCAGTCTCATATCCCCTAGTCCTTCCTTTATCTTTCCTATACATGCTCCCACTTGCCTCCGAATTTCCTCAGCCTCCTTTGTCATGTTCACCAACACCAGATTGTCCGCGAATGCTATTAGTGTGTTTGCAGCTCCCAAATCCATCCTCAACATTCTGTCCTACAGAACCTTCCATAAGGAAGGTCCCAAAACCAAGCCCTGCGGTACTCCACTCGTGATCTTCCTTAGTTGGCCATTTTGTCCCTGAATCCATCTGTCCTGAAAATAATCCTTAATCATTGCCATCATATAAGGCAGAACCTGCCACCACTCCAACTCTCTCTTTATTTCCGTCCACGCTACAGAGTTGAATGCGTTCTTTATATCTAAAATTGTGATGGTGACCCATTCCCTCGTTCTCCAGGTTCCACTCCGTGCACTGCTAGCCATTTCCACAACTCTATTTATGGCATTTATGGTAGAGGTTCCTTTTGTGAACCCATACTGTCTATCGCTTATCCCTCCTTTTTCCCTAATATGGTTTTCAAGCCTTTCCGCTAGAATCCTCTCCATGACTTTTCCCATTACATTTAAAGTCTAAAGGCCCTAGGGTCATGTCCTACTTTTCCTGGCTTCCTTATTAATATTAACTTAGCCACCTTCCATTCCGCCGGCACATTACCCTCCACTAATATTTTATTGAACGCGGAACACACTTTCTGTGGTATTTCGTTTACTACGTCCTGCCATAATTCGACCGTCAAACTGTTTCTTCCAAGAGCCTTCTTCTTCATCATTTTATTTAAAGCATCTATCATCTCCCTTATATCTATGGGTGGAACGAGCGTGACGTCTATTTCCCCCCAAACAAGGGGGGGATGCATCGGAAACAGTGCATCTATTATTTTATCCTCATCCTCCATATCTATAGATTCCGGGCGAGTCAACCTTGTTCTGTTGACGACGATTTCGAATGCTTTGCCCCATGGATTTTCATCCAGTTCTTTTAGCAGTTCCCCCCATTTTTTCTTTTTAGCCAGTTTAATTTCCTCCCTCAGTACCCTCTTGCATCTCCTGTATTCCTCTAGGTCTTCCTCCTCTTCGACCGGATCCCGTCGTCTCCGTACTCTCATCCATCTTCTTCTAGCTATAATACACTCTTCCCTTATTCTCTTAATTTCTTCGTTCCACCAATATACATTCTGTTGTTTCCTCCTGCGAGATGGAGGAGCCACTTTTTTACATGTCTTTTCAACTTCCTCCGTAATTTGTGCCATATCCTTATCTTTTAGCCTTTCTCTACTTTCATTTATGTATCTTTTCATAGTGTCCCTTACCTTCCCCTGAAATCTCCAGACCACTCGTGTCGCATTTATAATTTCATTCCTTCTACCCCCCTGTATCTTGAATTCGATCATTTGATGGTCACTTAGTCACTTCTTTACTAACCTTCCATTCAACAATATCCTCCCTACCATCCACATTAGCCATGGTGAGATCTACAATTGATGTACCGTTGTGTCTCATACACGTGGGCTCTACTCCTTGGTTTGCTAGAAACATACCATTGCTAGCCATCCATACCTTCATTATTTCCCCTCTTACATCTTCCACTCTATCTCCCCACGTCCCCGATCTTGCGTTAACCTAACCTAACCTAACATAATCTAATCTAACCCTATCCTTCAGACAGATCATTTTTTAATTTTTAGTTTAGTTTTAGTTAAAAAATGGTATAGATCTTACACCTTGTTATAAAGATATGATTAATTTTCACAACCGTCACTGGAATCAATTATATTCATATACAGGATGTCACGACTTACAGCTGTACAGGCCATTAACATAAAGTAAAAAATAAATAACTTCAAATATTTTTTATTAAATTGTACCTAAGAACACATAAACTATAGGTAACTTCCTTTAAGCCCTCTACAATTTTATATTGTGCTAAATTAAAAAATATTATCTTTTTTTATTCAAAGTTTAATAACAAATAGTTATGAAAGTAATTTATTTAATTGTTCTTTTAATAAATTCAAACAAAATCTAAAAAATGGTAAAATTAGAGTTGTTAGTTTGTTCACACTAATAAAAAGAAATTTATATATTTAAATAAAGTTCCTGGCCAAATAAGGTTTTAACAAGAAAAAATTTATACAACTTACTTTTTATCCTCCAAAATGCTTCTGAAATAAAATTTTCTATAGCTTGATACCTTTCGACCACAAAACCTAATGTTGGAAATTGGCACGAACCATAACTTATCAGCTTTTCAGCTAATTTCTGTGGGAATACTCTCTGTAGACGTAATGTTTGAAGGCGGGTAAATGCAGCTCCTAAAAATAAGTAAGTTTAATAATAATGATCCATATAATCTTCAAATTTTTTTTTTTAATGTAGATTGATATCACCTGTCAATAAAATAGTATCTATACAGGGTGTCACCTAACGAATGTTACATACTTTAAGGGTATAATCTAGAACCGAAATGGTGTCGATTTAACCAACGAACAAACGAAAAATGTCCCAAAAAAAAGTGACAGAAAGTTCAAGTTTCTTTTTTATTTCTTGTTTTCTCCTTAACTCAGAACCCAGTTAACAGATTTGAGCAAAATTTGCTGTTGCTTAGTTTCTCTTCATGAAGTATGCAGTGATTATGTTCCTATTAGGTTAAATCATACAAGGCGTTCATTTTTTGTGAAAATTCTTCAGTAATTTTTTTGTACTTTTAAATATTTACATGCAACTATCAGAAATAGGTAGAGAATTTTATTCTACACAAAAAATTTATACCTATCAAAAGTCGAAATTATGCTCAGTTATGAAGATATTACAGAAAATATTTATTATAAATTAGTAGACTTTATTACTATCACTTTTCAGTTTATTATGTTATTAATTATGTTATTCATTATGTTTATTATGGATACGTAGTTATTTCCAAAAAATATGAAGGATGTTTAATAAATATTTTCTGCAATATCTTCTTCTGTTCAAAATGACCAGTTGTTTCTACAACAAAGGTTAATTCGGCGAAGAAAGTTAAAGGACACTCTTTGCAGTTCTTGTGAGCAATTTTTTAAAACATGTGGAAGCATACACTGTTGTTTTCAGAGTGCCCTAAAGATAATAGATACAAGGTGTCAAGTCTGGTGACCGATCTATCGACGAGGGAATCTTTGGTTCAGATACTGCCGGACATTTACAGTCAAATGTGGTGGAGTATTATCATGCATAAACCACATGTAATAACGGCACACCTTCCAATAACTTGGGTAAATTGTTTTGCAAAAGTTCTAAGTAAAATTCCCCATTCAGTCTATTGGGTAGAATAACAGGGCCAATAATAATGACATCAATGCGTTGTATTTGATTATTTTTTCTAATTATTTCAATAAAATTAGGCACGTTGTAAATAACTCTAATTCGTCGTATGTATCCATATCGATAAATGAACTAGCAGGTGGTATAATCTTATCGTCATAAACATTCATTAAGAATTGTCAGGTACAATCAGACTGAAATTACAGTCAACCTACAAAATCAGTGCCTGCTAGCACTTTGTTAAGTATGTATTATAACATGGGTGGCACGATAATGTAGACATTTAAAAATATTTTTTTGTACCGAAACCGCTCATTTAATCAAAATTCTACAAGAGGCCCTAAAACGTTTAAATGGTCTTACTTTCTTAATAATTAAATTACAAATTGCTATACAATGGTCAGATACATAGTCCATTTCAATAACATCACTACTCAACGGCAAAGTTGAACAAGAAGAAACTATTATATCTAATAAAGTTTTTGTATTGGCAGTAATACATGTATGTTATCGTAATTACTTGGCATAAATTATATTTATTTAAGAATTTTGTAAAGTAATGAAAACTATTATTATTGTTTAAAAAATAAACATTCATATCTCCACCAAAAAGAACATAATCTTAACATGGTAAAAAACTAACTACAGTATTTTCAAGATCATCTAAACAGTCACTCAAGTTAACATCAGAGGGTCAAAGGGTCTATACCAATTATTCCCAAAATGGACTATATCGACCCCTAGGGGTCGACTCTAAACTGCAAGGGGTCCATATCAGCGAAAACAAAAAATAATGGATCACATTTAAGCAGATCTTGGCCGAAACTTTGGGTTTCATAAATGGAATAATTCACGTAACACAGATAATACCTATGTACTTACATTGAAGTAAAAAATTTTAATAAAATTATTATTACGGACTATTGCGGGAAAGATTTTGATAGTTTTTCCATCTTCATATCTCATGGAAAGGAGTTTTAGCATAGTTGCCAATCTTACCAAAAAATGAGACAGATTAGAAATCACCGATCGAGGAAATTTAAAGTTAAACCTAACTAAATTGAAGCCAAATATTGAAAATTTGCTATTAAAATATCAGACTCGTTACTCCCAAAGCATTAATTTTTTTGTGTAGTTATTTTATGCTGTAATTTTGCTATTGGATATCAATATCTTTTCTCTATTCTTTCCATCATTTCTATTATATTTCAGTAATCACTTTTTATCTTACAAGTGGTTTACTCCTTTTAGGGAAATTCTAACTTTGATAGCTTCGATTAAAATTTTGAAATCTTGTCTACATTACTTTATCTCCGTTAATATATAATAATTGCTGACAGACATTAATTTCAGCAGGTATAATATTACAGTCACGGTGTATGGTTGGCTTTATTTAGAATTTAGAATTCTTTGCAGACAAAAAATTGGTTAGTAAATTCTAGGTAAGTTTTCCTGTCTTATTAATTTAAAAAATTGCACATTTTTTATAGAAAATCATGAGTTTGTATGGTTAACTCTATATTCCTTTGCTTACAAAGCTTTTATTTCAATGCGTCTTAATCAATTTTATCAACTTAAGATGAGGTACAACTCACTAACCTTTACACTTAAGAAGGGTCGGGTGCTACGAAAAAATGCAGGCAATTTTATATTATTGAGATATATTATTTTTACAATATGAAATCAAATTCTGTGAATTATTCTCGAATTATTTATCGATTTGTTTTTGTTTTTGCAAAAAATTTGAATATTTAACATAGGTTCTTATAGGAAATGCCATGATCCATACCCTTACAATCGAATTACGGGTGAAAATATACAAATGGTAAGACAAAAAAAATATAGACATTTACCTGAATCATCAATTAATATATGAGACAAAGAAAAAAGTAGGTTACCACACAAAGAAATTAATTATCAAACAATAAAAGTTGTCACCTGCCAAGTAATAAACATGAAGGAGTAACGGCAACAGCGCAATAGAGTATGAAGGTGGCGGGAAATTTAAATAAATGTTTTGATACACAACTTAGTCATTGGAAATGTATTACATTCAACTTGTGTTTATTTGTATAATTCAATTTGGAATAATAAAATAAAATGGGAAATTTTCAAATGAAGTGATTTTCTTATTTATAAAGTACGATAAACTTTCAATACAAGAAGTAAAAAATACAGCAGCATATAAACAATGAATTATTTATACTTTGCATCACAGCGCATATAACAGTATTATGCATTTTGATAAATTATGACGTTTTTAATATCATTTTTCATTTTACAATTTCAATAATTTCAGTATATTTTTTAGAATATTTTTGGCTGCAATAATATCGTATCACATTATAATACTACATATATCAAATTGTATTATACTTTCATAAATGCAATCGATTTAAACCCTTGTCTTATAAGAAACATTTGTATTCATAGAAGTGCATTATAGTAGTATGCTACTTATGCATGTAACTAAATCATATTTAAACTTTTCCGCGAGAATCACTTCGTGATCACAATTTGTAGATCATCTATTAAAATACGTAAAAGTTATTTTCAAAAAGTGCAGTGCATAATTTGTGCCATGTACTCTTATGTCGATTAGTTGATGCCCCCAAACAGTGTGTGAGGGTTCTTGCATCATAATCCTCTCTTTAACGGCTTTTTTCCTACTTTTGCTATTTTCTGTTCTAAGTCTCAAGCACTCATACTTTCTTTTGGTCACAAATTTTCCTTTCTACTGACTATGTTCTTCATCCGACATTTTATAGGTTAAATCAATTAGCTGTGTGAGCGATCACATAGAATCGTATACCTATCCAAGGTGTTCCACTAAGGTCTGTGAGGTACGATATTACAGAAAGTATAAGCCCTAGAGCTTCGGGAAAAAAATTGTGAATAATAAATCGACCAAGAGAAATTGCTGGAAATAGTTTTCAAGTTCGTAGCTTAGCCGCTAGCGGGCGCAATTTACATACCAAAATAGAGTTGAATTTTTCTCAGAAATGTTTCCTATTCAGGTATATTAAATAGTGCAAATATGGCTAGCCGGATTCATTGCTCATAACTTTTGTTATTGACATTTTGTTGTATCTCTCGACAGAAAGGGTGGGGGAACCCCTAATGTCACGGAATGTACGAGTAAAAATTATACCCCTAATGTCTGATCAGAAAAATGTATTTTTTATGGATTGGCTCATCAAAAGCCCATAGTTATGCTTGTTGGAAAAATCTGTTCATGCTTTATCTCGTGAATGCATAATGTCATTTACCTCAATATGGAAACCTATAGATGGCGTTATTTCAAAAGAATGCCGTTTTATTGATTTTTCTCAAAAATTTTAAATGCAATGGTATAGTTTTCTTTACATAAATGAATTCAGCACAAAAAATTGATGAATATAGTATAAATTTGAAATTTCTAACGAAAGTGTTGTTTATTTATTGGCACTATTTATCAAAGTTTAGGTTGTTTCACGTTTTCCTAAAAACGTGAAATAGCAGGATAAAACTTTTTATAGGTTAGTTTGACGCCAAAAAGGGTTTGCAAATTAGTGAGCAAAAAATAAATAATGATAATAAATTGAGAAACATGACGCTAATGAAAAGACATTTAATTCCCAAAACAAAATGCTTTTATAAAAGAACCTACCTAAATGAGTGATTCAATAACAATCCTGAAAATAATAAACAGATATTGATATTATGTAATGAAAGAACAATTAAATTTTAATAAAAGTGAAGATGTTATACCATTATTTTCACTGCAGGAATTTAACCTTTAACTTGTATTTAGGTAGGTTCTTTTATAAACACATTTTGCCTGCCAACTTACAAAATAATAAACTGAGCATCTTGTGTGCTGTTGCCAAGTTTCGATTGCAACTCGTGGCATTTATATAAATAAATTGGGCATATTGGGTAAAAAATAATTATTGAAAGATGAAAATATATAATTATAAGTATTTTAAACTCGATTTTATTCAATATCTACAAGCAAGTATCTCAACCTACTTACTTCTATGTCATAAAGAATATATTTCTTTGCATTAGCAGCAATGATATATGGTACATATAGGGCCGTGTCCCGCTTCACCCCTTCAATGAAGCACCCGATCCTCCTTAAAGCACACCTAACAGGATCCAGAATTATATTATAACAGTTTAAGTAAGAAATTGCCTTTATTTGTGCTCCATCTTGAATCTGACGGTGTCGATTATATTGGCTCCTGGCCACGGAAGGTACGAGTAAAAATTATAATTACTTAACTCTTTTATGTGCAAAAAATTAGGAATTCAATAAAAAAAATAACAGACAAATAGTTTCTACACCTTGTAATCGATTTTGATATTGTGTCGGTATAAAGAACAAATTACATAATATAAGTATACAGGGTGTTTCAGGATTAAGTCGACAAACTTTAAGGAGATATTCCTCATAAAAAAATAAGAAAAAAATCAAGTATAAATTTATTTCCAGGGACGCTTAATTTTCGAAATTAAATTAGATTTTTAAAAAAATTCGAATTTTTTAAATAACTTCTAAATGAAGAAAGCTATTTAAGACAAATTTGGCATGACACATCTTATAAGATACCATTTTTCCAAAGAAGTAGAAGACCCGCAAGCAACCAGTGGCGGAGTTATGGGGACTCAGACTCATTAAATTATAAAAAAAAATAATACGGCCCTACTGAGAATAAAAAATGATGATGTTTTTAGATAGAACAGTTTGTTATTGACAAAAAGTGTACATTCACTTTTTTTCCTAACTCTTATAGTTTCATGGCAAAATTGATTTTTTGGAAGGGTGCTTCTGGATTCTATCGATACTTTAAAATGAACCTCAACATAAATTTTCGAGCAGGCTGCTGTCAAGTAATGTTAATTTGACGTTTTAAATGTTATTTTGCGAGTTGTTACATAAATTATCCATTAGATAAAGCGTTCAAACTAATAATAAAAATAAGTTTAATAATGCCGTCCATATTTTCGAAAAATTAATATGCTGATATGGTCTTTGTATATGGTTTTTGTGATGGAAATGCCACGGCGGCTCGCCGTGAATATGCAGTAAGATTTCCTCATCGCAGACTACCAGCAAAGGAAACATTTTCAACGACATTCAGTCATCTCAGACAAACTGGGTCTTTCGGTATTCCAATTTATGCTGATCGACATTTTGCTCCAGTTTAGGACAAAGTAAGATCGAGTGTCAGAAGATCTAGCTATGAGCTAGGTATTTCGTCAAGTTCCATTTGAAGGACTCTTCGGGCTGATGGACGCCATACATACCATATCCAGCATGTGCAACATTTATTGCCTCAGGACATACGATGCATGCGTGTGTTTTGTGACTGTGTGTTAAACCAAGCAGAGAATGATGATCAGTTTACGCAAAAAGTAATGTAGACAGATGAGGTATCATTTACTCGAAGAGGAATTTTAAATCAAAGGAACAACCATATTAATTTGGTTCTACGAGAATTCACGGGTGGTAAGGAAACATAGTTTTCAGCATGAATTCCAATGTAACGTATGGTAGGGTTTGTTGGACAACACTATAGTTGGTCCCTACTTCCTTCCACATCGGTTAAATGCTGAGATGTTTACCGAGTTCCTTGAAAATGGTTTTCAAGATCTGTTAGATGTTTCGCTTAATACTTGAATGAACAGTTGGTTTCAACTAGATGGTTGTCCTGCCCATTTTGGTAGAGGTCCTAGGGAGTGGTTAAACATTAATTATCCCAGGAGATGGATTGGTCGTGAAGGACCTGCAACGTAACCCGCACATTCACTGGACTTGACACCGATGGATTATTTTGTTTGGGGTGCTGTTAAACATAAAGTCTACGAGGTGCCAGTTGATACCCTAGAAGATCTAAGACAGCGAATAGTCCAAGCGCGTCGAGAATTAACTCCAATTCAGTGTTGATTCGCCACTACCTCCATAATTAGAAGATGTCGTGCTTGTCTACAGTCCGGAGGCGCCCATTTTGAACAAAATATTTTTTAAATCATTTCATTTTTGATTCACTTTTCGCTTTGTCTAGGTATAATATTAATTGGTAATTTCTTGGTTGTTTCAATTTACAAATAAATTTTCAAGTATAAAATAAGATGGCATATTTTATTTAAATAAGATGGCATATTTTATTTAAATGTACACAACACAAGTAAATGAAGTGACTGCAAACAGCCTGAAAAAATTTAGGAGTATTGCAAGAGTTGTTACGTTGTCGTATTACGACATAGTCACATTAGATGTTAAATAATTTTAATACTATTGGTTAAACCCAAGGGAAGGGGAGACAAAAAGGCTTATTTGACTCACACATACTCGAGACTAAGACCAATTTTAATAGGTACTATATTTTTTTAGGTTTTATGAGGGACGTCTTCCTAAAGTTTATTGACAGAATCCAAAAACACCCTTCTGAAAAATCAATTTTGCCATGAAACTATAAGAATTAGGAAAAAAAGTTAATGTACACTTTTTGTCAATAACAAACTGTGCTATATAAAAACAGCATCATTTTTTATTTTCAGTAGGGCCGTATTAATTTTTTTTATAATTTAATGAGTCTTGAGTCCCCATAATTCAGCCACTGGTTGCTTGCGGGTTTCTACTTCTATGGAAAAATGGTATCTTATAAGATGTGTCATGCCAAATTTGGCTTAAATAGCTTTCTTCATTTAGAAGTTATTTAAAAAATTCAAATTTTTTTAAAAATCTTTAACGCCCTATATTTCAAAAATGAAGTGTCTGGAAAAAAATTTATACTTGATTTTTTTCTTATTTTTTTATGAGGAATGTCTCCTTAAAGTTTGTCGACTTAATCCTGAAACACTCTGTATAATAGTATATTGTGAAATAAGTGCGGTAAGCTCATCTGCTTAAGTGGGCAATAGACAACCGCACGAATTGCACATACTATTTTTTATTACGAATGCAATGAAGTCTGAGAGTCCGGGGGCGAAGCGGGTCCACATATTTTTATACAGTTTAAGTTGACATAAATAACTGTCATTTAAATGTCACTTTTTAATAATAATATTTTCGAGTGTGTAAGTATTTAAATTTTGAGTGTTTTATTGGTAATTCGCGTGCGACAAGTAATATTACTGCATGCAAGTAAATAGAGTGGGCAAACGGCTAGTTACCGACCTAAAAAACATGAAAAAAGATAGGACTTATCCGTCATGAGTAATAATATATATATATATATATTGACGAAACTATTTATTTTTTTCATTAAAATCCATGCACTTAAATCCTCGTTATCATAGAAAAAGATTTGAATTTGAAGTAATATTTTAAACTTACCTGTTCTTAAGTCCAATTCTTGCCTGACATCAACAGCATCACTAACATTTTTATTAGGCTGTCCTAAAGTATTTAGGGCATGAAATACAGATGCTGCTGTTATTTCAGAAAATTTTGCACGGTAAATTCTAATATTCGGTTTAATATCTGTACATACTTTAATAATTTCAAAACCAATATTTTCTCCTTCTCTATCACAATCTGTCCATATGATTAAGCCTTGGCAATATACTATTTCTCTTTCAAGAGTTCTCTGTAAGTAAATAATGCGGTTATATATAAATAATATTTGAAATACATACTACATATTACAATTTTATCATTGCGATTTGTTATTAACAAAACTATTTAACATGATCGATGCATAGAATTCTTATGTTGTTAAGTCGACAATGAAAATATAATTGCATAAATAAAAATGTTATTACTAATAGTAATAACATATACAAATAAATAAGAAATTTTACATAAATTAAATTGAAATTTATTTTTTGAATACTTGGATGAATACTTTTATTGTTATATTCTACGAAAATTAATGGGACTAATTTAAATAAAAATTTGTTGATAGATGTTTTGTTAAAGTTAAAGTTGAATTCAAAAAAATGAAACTTAGTTCTAATTAAGTATATCCTGGAAACCTACAATGCAAATTCAAAACATTCAGGCTGCTATCTCACAGTATCAAAATTTGCCTAGGGTATCTAGAAGGGTGCTTTTGCCAACTATGCGTGACATGAATTTCCGTTTCATAAAATGATACTGTAAGAGTATGCTGATAGAAAAAGAGGAAATAATGATATTTAAGACAAGTATTAGAAGCTCGAAAACTAAATCGTACAATATATTATCCAGACGAAACATAAAATATAAATAAATGAAAGACAAAGAGAAAGAAACATGGAGTAAATGCATTATACATGTCCACAAAGAGAAACAACGCATGTGGGATCTCGACACGACAGTTGAGGTATTGGTTGATCCGCTGATAATACTCCTTGGAGATGACAGCAGCTCTAGTGATAAAGATGACAGTTCTTGTGATGACACTGATAGTAATAGAGCTATAGTAATAAGTGTAATGTATTGTACAATAAGTGCTAATGTGTGACCATTATAGTGAAGTGATAGTAGGCAGTATTGTATACTGTGTATATAAGTTCAGTGTATTATTATAGGTGATCCGCGCCGTACGCATTAGGTAGGCATAAGTGGGTGGTAGTGGGCCAACAATTGTGGAGAAGATGATAGGTGAGTCTATCAGCTTTATAGAGTAAATATTCACCATGACTTATTTTTTATAATTTTGTGTTCTTTGACCCCTTCTCGAGTAGTCCGCCTGTTGAATCTTGTCCCCTACACCCTTCACCTTCCTTACTAGTCTAAGTGCTGGATATGGATCACTGCCTGGTATACGGGTATAATTGATAGTTACAACTTTTGCAAATCTTTTCTAATCTTAACCAAAAAGTTAAGGTGGGGTGATCTTTTTAACCAATAATAATATATTTTGGAGCATGAATGAAAATCAGTTTTTCAAGGAAATTCATTTTAACAAGAGAACATTTTTTGCAGGAAAATGTCTGGGTTTTAAACATGACACTTTTTTATGCTAGTCAAGGGCATTACATTCATATAAAAAAGAGCCCTTGTGATGACATATGCAAGCCACTAGATTTTAGAATTCAGCTGAATATACCTGATACTAGAGGGCCAGTAAGTAAAATTAGAAAACAATTGCTACATAGTTTCCGAGATATGACTAAAACTAGCTTTGACTCTTAACAGAATTGTAACATTTTTTAATGTAAAAAGTTTGGTGCTTTAAATTAATGTGTTAATTGTGGCACGGAAAAATGCGGCTCGGAACAAAACCGGACTCAGTTTACTAAATATGAATATAATCACACTAACAGAAAATATAATTCGACACAATAATATATACATCAAATAGTAAATGCTAAATATAAGAATTAAAGAAAAAGGTAAATGTGCAAATGTAAAAGTGACCGACAGATTTAAAACAGATAACTGGTACATTTCTAAATTTCCTTTAGTGAAACTTTAACATATTTAATAATAAGTTATAGAAGCATAGATCATTCCTATATGTAAAATCATTACTCAAACTTATATCTACAGATTAAGAATCATTCTACTAGTAATTTAAATAGACATACTGATTTTAACTTACAGTAATTTATGCAGATTAGTGATAGGCAGAATCTAGTATTCTTAGGAATCAAGTACTTGGTTCTTGGATACTTCTAATGACGATTTCGATTTATATGCATTATGAACGTGTAGTGCGCACTGCTATGACGTAAAGTTCGCCATGAGTGCTAGAAAGTTTTGCCCGAAACACTTTAAGCGTGCAATTAAATCGAACACACATCAAATTTTAGTGCTCATTTCAATCATAACCTCTGTTTGTATGACTTCTGACTTCGTAATCGTTAAGACTTTTTTGTGTTTTGATTACTGTAAGCGGCTGTATCTCAGAAACTAATGATCGTAGAGAGCTACGGTAAAAAATTTAATAGGTAAAATGGGCAAGGGAAAATGCTGGAAATTATTTTCAAGTTTCCAAGATGGCCGCCAGTGGGCGTTTCCACCATCTTGAATTACATAAAGTTACGTTTCTCGCGATTTTCCCCAATGAATGTAACAAAAAAGTATTTGCGTTTTAATGTTAACTTAAAGTCGAATATTTTTTGTAAAAACAATTTTTCTCTATCTTTCGAAATAAAGTGGTGGGGGGTATTTGAATGTTGTTTTAAATAAATGCCTGTAACTTCGAAACGGCTTAATGGATTTGGATAAATTTGGTATCATTGAAAAGAGCATTTCTTGGGCTTTTAGGTTTCTCGTAATCATGACAGTTGCGACCTACACGGCCGCCGATAGAGGGCGTTATTCGATATTATAACCAAAATATTGGATTTTCTCAAAAAATTTAAATGCGATGATATGACTTTTTTTAGACTAGAAAATAGACAAATGACCAACCAATAAGCCTGCGCAAACCGCATCTTAATATCTTTTTCCTAACTCAAATTATTTAAAAAAATACTAAACCAGGAAAATTCATATATCCCCATTTAAAAATGCATCGGTTGCTTTCGATAAGAAGGCAAGTAGTAGGCCATGGACACGACAATCGCCTAACAAAAATATTGCCAAGTAACGTCAAACTTTTGTCACACGCAGCCTAATATTGTTGATTGCGTATAATTTGAGTACTTTTTAATCAAAATGCCTCTCACAAATAATGAAGCCGTTGACATGATTGCGATTTATTTCGAGTGTTTTCAAAATGCAGCTATAGCTGCAAGACAGTACGCGGCACGGTATCCAGATCGCCGTCATTACGGGAGAAGAATGTTTCCGCGCTTGGTACAGCGATTACGCGATACTGGAAGTTTTCGTCGTCCTAAACGTCGCAGGCGTCGCAATGGAAGGACCGAAGAAAACATTATCAATGTCTTGGCTTACATAGAATTTGATAGACATGTAGGAACTAGAACATTGTCTCTAGACTTGGGAATAGCACGAACAACTGTTAGAAATATTTTGAAAGATTATAGGTAAATAATTTTATCTTATTCCAAGTATCTTAGCACATACTCTCAAATACACAATTCAGTGTTATTCTGATTATATTATTTTTACGCATATGTTGTTTTTTACTTTTAGATTACATCCTTACCACATAGTTTTGCACCAGGCGCTAAATGAACAAGATTTCGATAATAGATTAAATTATTGTCAATGGATGCTAGGCATGCTTGAGGAAAACAGAAATTTCTTAACGGAAATTCTCTGGACCGACGAGGCTACCTTTAGTAGTGATGGTAGAGTAAACCGTCATAATATGCATTATTGGTCCGCTGAAAATCCGCATTGGTTAAGAGAAGTGCAGCACCAGGGACGCTGGAGCCTAAATGTGTGGTGCGGTATCATTGGGGACAGAATTATTGGACCTTATTTTTTTGATCAAGCTTTAACTGGTAACCGCTTCTTAGAGTTTTTGATCAACGACTTGCCAATTTTGTTGGAAGATGTGCCACTCGAAACTAGGAGAACTATGTTTCTGCAATTAGATGGTTGTCCGGCACATTATTCAATTAATGTCCGAAACCATATTAACGGGACCTTTCGAGAACGCTGGATAGGAAGGGGAAGCCTATTTCCTTGGCCGGCAAGATCTCCGGACTTGACATGTCTTGATTTTTACTTGTGGGGACGCTTAAAAGACATTGTTTTTCAAACTCCACCAACAACACGAATGGATATGGAAAACAGAATTCGAAACTCAATTCGTCAACTATCAGCGGTAGAAATCGAGGCTGCGGTTCTGTCGACTCAAGAAAGACTGGAACAATGTGTGGAATATGACGGAAGGCAATTTGAACACAGAAGGCATTAATCTTTTTTCAAAATCGGTCCTTTTCAGGACCACAACTTTATTTAAAAGGAAAATCGCTTATAAATACGAAAACGTGCGACTTAAAATCACAGCACTAAATAAACTGACATTTCTTGTGAATATTTTAGAGAGGAGTTTGTCTTTTATTTCCATGGCCTACTACTTGCCTTCTTATCGAAAGCAACCGATGCATTTTTAAATGGGGATATATGAATTTTCCTGGTTTAGTATTTTTTTTTAATAATTTGAGTTAGGAAAAAGATATTAAGATGCGGTTTGCGCAGGCTTATTGGTTGGTCATTTGTCTATTTTCTAGTCTAAAAAAAGTCATATCATCGCATTTAAATTTTTTGAGAAAATCCAATATTTTGGTTATAATATCGAATAACGCCCTCTATCGGCGGCCGTGTAGGTCGCAACTGTCATGATTACGAGAAACCTAAAAGCCCAAGAAATGCTCTTTTCAATGATACCAAATTTATCCAAATCCATTAAGCCGTTTCGAAGTTACAGGCATTTATTTAAAACAACATTCAAATACCCCCCACCACTTTATTTCGAAAGATAGAGAAAAATTGTTTTTACAAAAAATGTTCGACTTTAAGTTAACATTAAAACGCAAATACTTTTTTGTTACATTCATTGGGGAAAATCGTGAGAAACGTAACTTTATGTAATTCAATATGGTGGAAACGCCCACTGGCGGCCATCTTGGAAACTTGAAAATAATTTCCAGCATTTTCCCTTGCCCACTTTACCTATAAAATTTTTTACCGTAGCTCTCTACGATCACTAGTTTCTGAGATACAGCCGCTTACCTCGCT